AAAGCAATTTGAAGGAGAAGAAAGGAGTGGAGGTGAATTCTACATAGGGGCTTTGTAGAAAGGCAGATAATGGAAGAGAACTGACAAGGAGAGAGATAATTAGGACGCAAAGTCTGAAGCAATCTGGGAAAAGACCTTTGATCTTTATACAAAACAGAGCTTTTTTTCTACCCCTTAAGGTATTTGGGGAGGAGGGGAGAACCAACTTCATAAAAAGAAAGGTGGTAGGGGTGGAGGCGAGGACCATTCCCCTCTTGAAAAATCAAGTCACACCTAATTCCGCCTTAGCCTCATAATTCTAACCGGCTGCATATGAGATTTGGCCAAACGCTTAGACACAATAATTAAATCCGCAATTTGTAAAGTTGGGGCTGTACGGATTAAAAAAAAATAAAATCACCTTTTGGAGGAATTTTACGGCTTTAGGATAGGATAGGATAGGATAAGATAGGATAGAATAAGCAATAAGAATAGAATAGAATAGAATAGAATAGAATAGAATAGAATAGAATAGAATAGAACAAGCAATAAGAATAGAATAGAATAGAGGAATGGAATGGAATGGAATGGAGAGTAGAGTAGAGTAGAGTAGAGTAGAGTAGAGTAGAGTAGAGTAGAGTAGAGTAGAGTAGAGTAGAGTAGAGTAGAGTAGAACAAGCAATAAGAATAGAATAGAATACAATAGAATGAAATAGAAATAGAAATAGGAATAGGAATGAATAGAATAGAATAGAATAGAATAGAATAGAATAGAATAGAATAGAGAATTCTTTATTGGCCAAGTGTGGTTGGACACACAAGGAATTTGTCTTAGGTGTATATGCTCTCAGTGTACATAAGGAGAATAAAATATGTTCATCAAGAATAAAAGATACAACACTGAGTGATAAGCTATCAAATCGTACTAGGAAACAAATAAAAACAATATAATTGAAAGATGCAAGCAACATGGTTATAGTAGTAAATGGGAAGAGATAGATACTAGTAAGGATGAGAAGAATAATAGTAATACAGTCTTAGTAAATGATTTGACAATGTTGTGGGAATTCGTTGTTTAGCAGAGTGATGGCTTTCGGGGAAAAACTGTCCTTGTGTCTAGTTGTTTTGGTGTGCAGTGCTCTACAGCATCTAGGAGTTGAGACAATTTATGTCCAGGATGTGAGGGGTCTGTAGATATTTTCACAGCCCTACAGATCCTCAATGGAAGGCAGATTGGTAGCCATTGTTTTTCTTGCAGTTCTAATTATCCGTTGAAGTTGAAGGCTTGTTCCCTGACATGAATATATTGTATATTGTGCCTATTAGATTCTGAACTAAGTCTTTCTGAACAGATTAATATAAAGTGGAGGAAAAATAGGCTTCAAAGTGGATATCCTAAACTGCTTTTTATTTGGCTAGAATTGTACCACCTTCCTCTCAGTGCTTGGGGTGTCCTACATCATTATTTCTCCAAAAAAAAAAAAAAAACCATAGTTGGTAGAATCCCTCTTTATTATTATTTAATATCTAAATTCCACTTCCCAATTAGTCAAAAGAATATGGCCCCAACTCGTTACAATCTGATCTCTGGATTTCTTTTAAAATGGTTTAGGCATTCAAATGGGCCCTGGTTTTCTGTTGTGGAAGCCAAATAAAAACCAAATCTTTAATCTCTTGTGATTTATTTCAAACAGTTTCGGTTTATAGTCAGGAACCCTTAAAAAAAAAGTTATTTTCCTCCAGGGTAGCACCTGCATTAACTTTTCAATGTCGTAACAAGTTTGTGGGAATCCTGAGGTGGATAGAAATACCGTCTTCCCAAAACAAAAATAAAAAAATAAAACAAAACCAACCACCATATAAACATAAAACACACAGAGAGTAAAGACTTTTTTTCCCCCTTCCTCCCTGCCCAGGGAAACCGTGACTTATTAGATGGTGGTAAATATAAATAAACATATTCAGCTGTAGCTTCTTGGTTGTGTTGGAAAACCTCAAACTACCAGGGAAACCTCAAACTTTGGCCAAGAACTTAATAATATACATTTTTCTTTCTTTTTCTCTTTCTTTCCTTTTTCTTTTTCTTCTTTCTTTCCTCCTCTTTTTCTTTCTTTCTTTCCTCTTCTTTTTCTTTCCTCTTTTTTCCTCTCTTTCCTTTCTTTCTTTCTCTTTCCTTCCTTCCTTTTGTTTTCTTCTTCTCTTTCTCTCTCTCTTTCTCTCTCTCTCACACATACACAGATTTCCCAAAAATTCTAGGATCCTTTCTTGGGTGCTCATACCCGCCCCAAGTTTGGGGGGTGGGGGGGAAGGAGGCATATGGCAAACTTTTCCTTTATACACAGAGCAAACCTTCCATTACATGAATGGTGCCATTCTGGTTAAATGAACTTCTCCTTCCAAGGTTGCAAACAGAATTCTTTTTGCAATCAATTGTTGGGCGTTTTATTTTCTTTGGGCTCATTTCAGTAACTTGAAGGTCTCTCTTATTATTTAATCTCAGTCATCCCAGCCTTAAATTATTTGCTTCTTCCATTTGGAAGCAGGGAGGGAGGATTTCCATTGACTCCCGCAGAAGTTCCTCCTGGATTACTACTGGATGTCTCTGTGGCTGTTAAATATCTTATTTTCTTAGAGAATGATACTAGATTAGATGCTTTTCTCTCTTGCCAGATGCGATCAGCTTTTTCACTTGCCCCCTTGAGATTCCTCCTCCCGCTTCTGAAGAAACCCATCATGTAAATTAAAAAAAAAAAAAGGGGGGGGGAGAAAAAACTTCAACACCACTGAACTCTTCCAGACTGTAATTCAAATGTCAAGATGGATTATGTTAGCTGTAACTTCTGGAGATCTGACATCAGCTTGTCATTTTCCGAGAAGGATGGGAACTTCAAAACAAGCCGTGTTTCTGCCTTGTAATATGTCAGGCCGTGTATTAAGACAACATGTGGGACTGTCAGTAGGTAAATGCATTGAAGGTAGTACCTCTTGCCTTTCCAAGTGGAAGATGAGAAATGATTTCACTTAAATTTAGTTTTTCTTCCCTTAATAAGCCTCCAAGAGTGATGATTCCATTCCTGAATCTATCCCCCAGTTGTGTGCATCTGGGGGAGGATGGGACCATATATATATATTTTAAAAAAAGAAAATAGAGAAATTGATCATGTACTGATAATGTTAACTAGTTTGGTAATTAAAGGTCTGCAAGAAAATAACCATGATCAGAGAAGGAAGGAAGGAAGGAAGGAAGGAAGGAAGGAAGGAAGGAAGGAAGGAAGGAAGGAAGGAAGGGATCATTGATGGTTACCTAGTTTGGTAATTAAAGGTCTGCAAGAAAATAACCATGATCAGAGAGAAGGAAGGAAGGAAGGAAGGAAGGAAGGAAGGAAGGAAGGAAGGAAAGAAGGAAGGAAGGTCACTGATGATGTTAACTAGTTTGGTAATTAAAGCAAGAAAGCAACCAAGTACAGATAGCACAAAATACCTGTTTTTACAACTTCCTTTCTTTGCTTAAAGTTTGTGGAGGCGATTAAACAATCTTGTCTGGAAGTGAACATTTGTCTTTTTTCAGAGAAGAAATATGTATGCCTCTAAGACCAAGCTCTGAATTGCAAAATGCATATACATTGCACAATTTGAAGGACACCCCTGTTCCTATTCATCTGTTGATCTAGTCACTGCCAAGTCCCACAATACTTGCACGCATCCAAGCTCCCTCCCTCCCTCAGGACAAGTGCGGTTCCTTTGGAGGTTACAAACAGACAGAGTGTCTCAACCGCAGGGATTAATCTCCTTAAGTTGGAAGGAGGAGGAACAAGATTATGGGTGGAGATGGAAAGCAAGCAAGGAAGGGAGAGATTCTTCAGATAGAAGAGCTAGTTTTCCAAACGGAGGTATGGACCATTGTGTATACCAGGGGTCTGCAACCTTAAACACTCAAAGAGCCATTTGGACCTATTTCCCACAGAAAAGAAAACACCGGGAACCACAAAAACCTTCCCCTGCCTGACTATTTCTTGAGCGGCCACAAAACTAGCAAATGTCGCATATTGGTGGTTGTGACGCATATTTTGAGTGACAGGAGCCACAGCAGAGGGGTGAAAGAGCCACATGCGGCTCCAGAGCTGCAGGTTGCTGACTGCTGGTGTATACATTTCCATCAGCTCCAAAAAGTAGGAACTGAAGAATATAGTTGGAAGATGCTTGTGATATGGCCAACAGGGAAGCTGAAGACATAGATGAGAGAACCTCTGCTCAATAGCAGCCACCAAAAAGAATGAGCCACTCTCTGGTTATGTTGTACGCCACTCAAGAGTCATTTGCTTGTGGGATGGGTAGCTACCCGTATTTCCCCGAAAATAAGACCCTGTCTTATTTTTCTTTTAACCCTGAAATAAGCGCTTGGCCTTAATGCCATGCACTCAAAAGCCCGATTGGGCTTATTTTGAGGGGATGTCTTATTTTGGGGGAAACAGGATATACAAATTAGGTGGATAGATGGCCGGCTAGCTGGATGAATGGCCGGCTGGCTGGTTAGATAGATATAAAGAAAGATAGATATAGAAGATAGATTAGAGACAGAGAAGATACATTAGAGGGAGGGAGGGAGGGAAGATATATTAGAGATAGATGGATGGTCTTTTAAAAGGATGGATGGATAGAATTTGAGATGGATGGATGGGTGATAGATAGACAGACACAGGCAGATCCTTATGGATGGATGGAGAAAAAAAGAAAGAAAAAGAAAGATAAACAGATAGTACATACAAACATACGATCGATAGATAGATAGATAGATAGATAGATAGATAGATAGATAGATAGATAGATAGATAGATAGATGGATGGATTCAAGAACTATGCTGTTGGCTTAGAAGGTGTCTCTGCATTTCCAGACACATGCAGAGAAGTATCAAACTCCTACAATATATAATATTTTCACTGACATATTCAACATATGACAAAAGGCAAATTCAACATATGACAAAAGACACTCACAGCCTTCAAAGAAAAGAATAAAAGGGACTGGTTAAAAATTTTTTTATTCAACAAATTATATTAAGAATACAGACTAAATTCTCAAAGACGGGAGCTTCCCTTTGTAAAACACAAAATAGGCCATCTAAAATAAATATGAAAAAGGGTAATATTAATAGGATTAATGAACACCTTTAATCTACTTTCAGTGTCCCATCACGAAGAAAATGCATAGCATCTTTAAGAAAAAGAATATTACATTCATACCTACACACGCACACAAACAGTTTTAAAAAAAGGAAAAAAGCCTAACTGCTTAACAACACTCTTGGTCTTTTTTGAAGCCAATAGCTCAGAAAGAGATGTTTTAATCCATGCATTTCATAGGATGTTGCATAAGTGTCATTTTCTGTGACCTCAAAACAGCCCATTTATTCATTTCCTTAAAAGGCAAAACCTACAGGGCCTGTAACCTAAACAACCCCCTCTTTCAAAATATAATTTCACACAACAAATACTTAATCCACCTCACACACACACGCTCACACAAAAATACACCACAAATTTAACCTATTTTGAACCAACCAGCTGCCCTAAATTTGTCCGAGGGTGTGTGTCATCCCATTAACCACTCTTAAAACACCCGTTTTAGGGAGTCTCACGGATTTCCCCCCCATCGTTAACACTGTTTTTGTTCTTTTTTTGAGGGAAGGGACAGAAAATAACACCCCCGTGTTTCATTTGTGCAACGTAGATTCCCAACCGTGTGTGTGTGTGTATGTGTTTTCACAATATATTCCATCTGTGTGAATATAAAACCCGACAAAAGCTGCACAAAAGAGGCAATCAGGTTTCCAAGAAAAGATCTACAAATCCTTTGTCTCCCCTCAGTGGTGGTAAATGGAATAATGCAGTATACAAGTTGCATCCATCGATACGATGGGATTGGGTGGAGAAGTCAACAAAAACAAATCCTTACGCATGCAACTGTTATCTATGATGCACAACTGCTGTGTCCCGGACAAAATCTACGCCAGGAAAGATTACCCTGCTTGAAAGAAAAGTTCTTCAGTGTTGGGTTGCCAAAACAACATCACACCACCAGCCTCTACTAGGAGGAAGTAGAAGTAAACCTGTTTTTTCCCACTCATTGATGGCCTTCAAACTCTTCATCTTCCGTCAACTCTAGCCAACGGCTAAGGAAGGACAAGCAGAGTTGGTCCAACAGAGACAAACATGGGAAGTCAACAAAATCCATCAAAAATGCTGTTAAGAACAACAGAAACTCCCGATGACATCTTGTTGTAAGACAACATTGGGGGAATAAAAAAAAGGAGAGGCATAGACTCATTCATAGATAATTTTTCCAGTATGAAGAGAAGAAGGACGAGTTCTCTAATCCCACTTCTCTTTTTTTCTCTGAACTCAGAATCAAATTTGGCCTAGTTAACTTGACACCTACCAATTCTGCTTCCTGCCTTCCACCATTTCTGACTGCGAGCAGAAGCAATGGTCCCGTGTAAAAACTTTGCCTTCCTTTCATAGGGTGGAGAGAGGGGAACGAAAACTTTCCTCTGAAGTTGGGTTTCAGTTCTGTCTGATCCTACCAATCTCTGCCTGGAAATCAGAGGCTCGTATCTGCATTTATCTAAAGAGAAATATATGGAAAAGGGGTGGGAACAACATAAAATACTACGGGACTGGCATTACATGTATACATCCCAAACACAGAAATAAATATGTCTATCAGTACTGTCAGGAGGCCGAATACCATGTTAAAAAAGGCTGATGTTATGGAAGAATTAAGTTTCATGGTAACGCCTGGGAATCATCAGTGGCAGTCTGTATATTTGTATTTTTTAAAGAGGATGCAGCGATAACCCTGGTGACGTTTTGTACTTAAGCATTCCTCTGTTAAAAAAAAAAAAAGTTAAATTGTATTCTATCCATGGGATGAGTAGGGGGTTGGAGAAGCAGCCGTCCAAGAACTGTTGGATGGAAACTGACGGGAACTTCAGAACTTGACAGAACATGCATTGTCTGTCAGTGTCTTCTTACCAGATTAAAGGGGGGGGGGGCAAGAATTCAAAACCTACATCAGAATATTGAAAGATACCAATTGCAAACAAGGACAATTGTAACCTTGAATTCAAAGCTGTTTTGAAGGTGCCATTTTGGCTCCTTTTACATCCTGGTGCATTGGTTGGGTTAATTTTTTCCCCCCTCTTACAGGAAGAAGAACCCCTGGCAACTTTCCTCTTGGGAGTCCATGCAATGGCTGATGGTGACTTCCTCTCCTTTTCTAAGCACCCAGGGCATTGCTTTGAATCCAAAGCCAAGAGGATGAATTCAGGCTCGTTTCAATTTACCCGGTGGTACTTCTCCAAAATTTGGAGGCAGGGAAATCTCTTTTGCTACTTTATGGAAGGAAACCCATCTAGCGAGACAGAATAATTAAGCAAAAAAAAAAATGAACTAGGCCAAGATCTCTTCTTCACACACAGCTGTTGAGAAGAGGTGGGATATCTGCATCACTCCGAAAAGAGGTTGTTGAGGAGAACTCCTTCCCAAGGTTTTGAAGGCCACAGAAGAAAGCAGAAATTAAGAAGTTCTGAGTGAGAGGATAAAAACTAGGCTGGCCTGAACTGTTTCCATGCACCTTCCAGAATCCAAAGATAGGACATTTTAGCGATCTAGGTTATAAAGTAAGTAAGAATGGATTTCCAAATCAATTTCATTCGGCCTGACTTTTCGAACTTGGTGGCATTCCTCAACCAGATTCAGCTCACACACTCCGGTCATCAAATAATTAGCTGTCTTTCCATTCTGTTAACCGGAAAACACTTTTTAAAACTGTTTTAATCTCAGATCTGTTTTTCTTGAGATGCTTTCCTAACGCCTCGCTTCAAGACTTAATTCAAGATCAAGTCATTGTCTCAGTATTGGTTTCCAAAATACCTTCAGGAGCTGCCTAAAGCAGGGGCCTCTTACCTATTTAATGCCTTCATGAATTTCCTCTGCTTTGTGGGGGGGGGGCAGAGAAAGGCAGTTTGGTGGTTGGCCACAACGGACTGTGAGAACAGAAAAGCTTTGGCAAAACCAAAAAAAAAAAAAAAAGATGGTAAAGAAATTGAGGCATACATTGCTAAGAGAAAGGTAGAAAGGTTGAACAGCTGCCGACAGAGCCACCATCCAAACAATTTGACAGACATCTAGGTTTGCCTTTTCTTGAAAAATGCAATTTATAAACTTCTGGATGGGTGGGGGGGGGGAAGGATTGGAAGGCATATCCATTTTATGCAGTACAACTACCCCTATTTGCTATGAATAGACTACTCCAGAATAAGCTAAACTAACCTCAGGAGCAGTTGCAGGTCCATATAACCAGGGCAATTGCATTTTAATACCATTAGAGAAATTAGTATTTATTTACACGTGACATACTGGAACCTTTCCACCTGTTGTTTGTTTTTGTTTTTTTTAAATCAAAGAAATCGTTGAAAAGGGGAAGAAATGATTTGTTCTCTTTTTTTTGTCTGTATAACACAGCATTTGTTCTCTGGCACCAAAATCACACACACACACAAAGCAGCACGGACATTCACACAGGTTTCCCCAAATAATTTAAGCTTGAGTGACAAGTTGCACCAGGGTGTATATTCTGCAGTCATGGGCTGCGGCTTACATTAGACTGGCCTCATTATGAATCAATGTTGGGTTTCTTTTTTCCCAAGCTCTTGCTTCAAGAACAACATATCATGGTCTGTTTCACCGTAAGCAGGTTAGATGGACAGCTCCTTCTTTTGCTAAATCGAACAGTTTATAACAGAAGAAAGGATTCAAAACTTGTGCAGAAGAGATTTCTTAGACCTTCCAGACCTTTTGCAAAAAAAGATCAGGTTATAAATCATGTTTTTTTTTTTTTAAAGGCTCAGAAATGAAGTTGCCTATTGATGAAAAAGATCGCTTTGATCATCAACTCGGGGAAAGGATTCGGGGAAGAGAATTTCCCCAAAAAAACCCAAACCAACAGACGTCCAGTTCAGGCAATACATTTGAAGCTGCTTCTATCCACAAGGAAAGGGGTGTGCGTTGCATGGTAAAAGCAACATGGAAACCCTTTTAGAAATCAGTGCTGAAGAAAAGTGACACCGCTGGTGAGATACAGGATGGCTCTTCCTAGCTCTGGGGAACGCCAGATAAAGCCAGTCGGGTGTGACAAACAACACCTTAAAAAGGATATGTTTCTGGTTTCAAGAAAAATCGACCAGTTTAGTAGAAGACACTTCAGCTGAGTTGGAGCAGCTCTTCAGACGGAATCAACGATCAAACCTCAGCCACAAAACCCACAATAAATAAAACGCGACAGACAGAAAGTCCCCCACGGAAATCTAGGTCTCTTCAGTCACGAGGCAGGGGGGGGGTGATCCCGGGGGGGGGGGAATCTTCAGAGTTAGGGCTGTTGTCCGAACAGACTCGAGGAGCTGAGTCAAGACTTGCAAACCAGCAAGGACAAGTTGGTATAAAAAAAATTTTTTTAAAAAAAGAGAGAGAGAGAGAGGGAAAGAAATGCTATCCAGTTATTTTGAATAAAGGAAGGAGGGGGGAAAGCAATGGCAGAGGGGGAAGAACAAAAAAAAAATCAAGGCTTCGTGTGTCTTTTGCTGGAAGGGCCTCCATTAATACTGCTTGTCAAGGACAGGAAGGGTTGGGGGGGAAGGTTACAAAGTGAGGAGGAGGAGGAGGAGGAGAGGTAGAGGAGGAGGAGGAGGAGGAGGAGGAGGAGGAGGAGAAGGAGGAGGAGAAGGAGAAGATGACTATGATGATAGAGGAGAAGGAGGAGAAGGAGGAGGAGGAGAAAGAGAAGAAGGAGAAGAAGACTATGATGATAGAGGAGGAGGGGAAGGAGAAGGAGAAGGAGGAGGAGAAGAAGTAGAGGAGGAGGGGAGGAGGAGGAGGAGGGGAGGAGGAGGAAGAAGAAAATCCTTTCGCTTCTCAGTAGTATGTGTGTGCGTTATACTCCAAGGAGTTGAGATACTTCAGGAGGGTGGATACTGCTGGCACCTTGTAGGGCTGGGAGGCAGTCTGGCCGCAGCACTCTGTTCTGTCCGGAAGCTGTAGTCATACTGCAGGAGACAAAAAGCCAGATGTGAACGATTGGACAGCCAAGAAAACCAACCAATGCATCATTGAATCCATCAATCCAGAGTTCTCCACTGGTTCAAATAGGTTGACCGCCGCATCTTCTTTGTGGCAGCCCTTGAAATATCTGAGGGGCTGCCCCAAAGAAGAAGGAGTCAAGCTATTCTCCAAAGCACCTGAGGGCAGGAAAAGAAGCAATGGATGTCACCCGTTGAACTTCCGGGTTCCGGCACGCACATGCAGCTCCATAACTATCTGGTTTGGTTCTGCAACCCAACAAGACAGACACAGACTTCAGAGGATCATTAGAACTGCAGAAAAAACAATGGCTACCAACCTGCCTTCCATGGAGGACCTGTATACTGCCCGAGTCAAAAAGAGGTCTGTGAAAATATTTACAGACCCCTCACATCCTAGACATAAACTGTTTCAACTCCTACCTTCAAAACGACGCTATAGAGCACTGCACACCAGAAAGACGAGACACAAGGACAGTTTTTTCTCCGAACGCCATCACTCTGCTCAACAAACAATTTCCTCAACACTGTCGAACTATTCACTAAGTCTGCACTACTATTAATCTTCTCATCGTTCCCATCACCCATCTCCTCCCACTTAATAACTATAATCTTGTTGCCTGTACCTTTGCGATTTATATTGTTTTATTTAGTTTCCTAGTATGATTTGATAGCTTATTAGTGACCTATGACTATCACTAAGTGTTGTATCTTTTTATTCTTGATGAATGTATTTTATTCTCCTTATGTACACAGAGAGCTAATGTACCAAAGACAAATTCCTTGTGTGTCCAATCACACTTGGCCAATAAAGAATTCTATAAAGAATTCTAACTTGATGGCACATGATCATAATAACCTATAGTCGTATTCCAGCTCAATGGGACATAATCAACCAACCAACCCATCAAGGAAAGTCTTCCCTGTGGTCATGCCACAAGAAGTCCAGGATATGGCTTGCCCACTTGCAAACTTTTCCTTAAAGGTGAAAAGGCAACTGTGTACGTGGCAATGCTGCCACCTGGTGGTCCAACTGCAGCAGCAGACCAATCAAAAATAACATGCCTGCATAGAACAAACAGCCGTAGGCGATCGTGCAATAAATACATTTTAATGTCTCTAAATTATCAGCCCAAAAGGATGAAATGATTGACTGATGTTATCCATTCTCTTATTCTTTTTCCCCTCCTGTAACTTAATTTTCCCTTCCTGTTTCCTGATTGCTTATTTGTACCCTATGACTATCATTAAGTGTTGTACCTTATGATTCTTAATGAACGTATCTTTTCTTTTATGTATACTGAGAGCATAGGCACCAAAGACAAATTTCTTGTGTGTCCAATCACACTTGGCCAATAAAGAATTCTATTCTATTCTATTCTATTCTATTCTATTCTATTCTATTCTATTCTATTCTATTCTACTCTACTCTACTCTACTCTACTCTACTCTACTCTACTCTACTCTACTCTACTCTACTCCACTCCACTCCACTCCACTCCACTCCACTCCACTCCACTCCACTCCACTCCACTCCACTCCACTCCACTCTCCACTCTATTCCAATACGTAATACTGCACTCACATTGCAGCACTGGTCAAAAGTGGCCCACCAGAGATTATACTACCTGAGACTTCTCAGGAAACAACAACTGAATGGAAAACTGCTGGGGATCTTCTACCGCTGCACCATAGAGAGTATTTTAACTTACTGCATCTGTGAATGGTTTGCCAATTGCACAGTGGCAGATAGGACAGCACTCCAGAGGGTCAACGTCATTGCCCAGAGGATCATCAGAAGAGGCTGTACTTCCTGAGAATGCTCAGGAAGATAAATCTATCTCAGCATCTCCTTCTGTACTATTATCGCAGCACCATTGAGAGTGTCCTGACATACGGCATTCTTGCATGGTATGGGAGCAGCTCTGCAACTGACAAAAAAGCTCTACAGAGAATCATTAAAATTGCCCAGAATATCATTGGGCTCCAGCTACCAGCCCTGGATGACATCTTCGAATCTCGCTGTTTGAGAAAGTTGCATAACGTTCTGAGAGACTCTTCCCATCCTGCTCACAATCTTTTTGGACTGTTGCCTTCTGGCAGAAGATACGGAACAATTAAAACTCAGACCGCACATTTTCTGAATCGTTTTTATCCCAGAGCTATAATGACACTCAACAAATGAACTAAAGGGCCACCATCAGTGAGCTGTTGGACAGCATTACTTGGTCTGTTGTGTGGATGTTTGGGTGGTTTAGGGGTGGGGAATTTGTGGTGGGTGGGAGTGGGTTTGGGGATTGTTATGTGTGTTGGACCTGGTCTTTGGGTGTTAAGTGAATTTCGTTGTATGAACAATAATGACAATAAAGTAAGCTAAACTAAACTATGTTAAGCATCAGGGTAGAGTGGAGGGCGTTTAAATTCTGTCTTCTCATTTACTCAGGGGTACCTTAAAGCAACCATCGAACCTCGAAAATCCTTAATTATAGAAGGCTTTCCTTGCCTTTTTTTTCCTCTTCTATCTTTACTTTCTTTTCCCTTACCCTTCTAATCTCTCTTTTCCTTCCTTCCTTCCTTCCTTCCTTCCTTCCTTCCTTCCTTCCTTCCTTCCTTCCTTCCCTCCCTCCCTCCCTCCCTCCCTCCCTCTTCCCTACACCAATGTTTTTTCTCTCCTCCCGATGCAATCGTTGATAAGACTACTAGATGGCACTGTGCGATCATAAATGACTGCTAAGGATTCTTATTTCCCCCTCCCTCCTTATACTTCGAAAGAAAATTATGACTAATACCCAGTTATATCCCTGAAACAAAAGAAAGACAGAGGGCAGCCAAAGAGAAGAGGTGGAATTTCTTTTTTTAAGGCTCCATCCAGACGTGGGGTTGTTTGCTGCTAAGTTTATCAAGGAAATCAGAGTCCCCTTTGCAAACTGCTTTGCAAAGATCCCCATACAGGAAGGACTGCGGGGGGTCAGCCCGTCTCCCCAAGAATTAAAAATCAGGAGGGACTTCCTTCAAAATCCTTCGTAAGACCTTTTAGAAAATCGACCCGGGCGACCACGTCTCTGTTAATTTCATGCCAACGTTGAGAAGCCCGTGGCAAGTGCCCAGAGCGAATGGAAAACCCCCGCGAGCTATTTTTCAAACACGCTAAGGCATAAAGATGTCAGCTCAAACTGTTTACTAATTAACACTTAAAAAGACACAAATTAGATATGCGCGGGGAAGAGCAATTATAATCAAGACCGATCTCTTCAGTCGTTGGGGGCGGGGGGCTGGAAAGAGGGGGGGAGGGGAAGATAACCCAAACTCTCAACTCAAAAGATATTGAGAAAGAGAGAGAGAGAGAGAGAGAGAGAAAACCCCTCTGAAATGTTGCCAGTTAGCAAATATATTTCACTTAAAAACCATTATGTAGGACTACGTTCTAGAGGGTTGCCTGCTGAAAAGGAGAAAAGTGGTGGAAGGGATTTTGGAAATCCACACACAGCAATCCCAGAAGATCTGAATCAAATTATGTAGAACACAGAATCCTAGTCCTGGAAGGGACCTCAGAGGTCTTCTAGTCCAACCCCCTGCTCAAGCAGGAGACTTTATCCCATGTCGGACGTCCAGTCTCATCTTAAAAGCCTCCAGCGATGGAGCATTTACAACTTCTGGAAGCAAGTTGTTCCACTGATAAATTGTTCTCACCGTCAGGAAAATTCTCCTTAGTTCTAGGATGGGATCTGTCCAACTAATTCAGGCTCTAAGATTATTATTTTTTTCCCCTGCAAAAGTGGCCATTATTATTAAGTGGTATTATTATTGGGGAAACACGGTATCTATCCTATCTATCTATCTATCTATCTATCTATCTATCTATCTATCTATCTATTCTCTATATCTATCTATCTATCTTCTATCTATCTATCTATCTATCTATCTATCTATCTATCTATCTATCTGACTCTGTAAACCACTTAGAGAGGGCTGTAAAAGCTCTATGAAGCGGTATATAAGTCTAAGTGCTATTACGTTTCTTAAATGAATTCAGTTTTAGGCTGTGTGTTTAAAGGAAGTGTGAATTCCTCACAATCATAATAATCGTAAGAATTGACAAAAAATCCCCTTTAGTCAATTGCAAAAGACAGCTTTGCTTGGAACAGCTGGCATCTGGTGAGGGTCCCTTCAACACCATCGAACATCTGCCTACCCCAGGTCCTTGGGAAAGGATTCAACAGGTAAGACAAAAATGCCAAATCCAGTCTAAACATTTGATTGACTGTGACGAACCATAATAATAAATGGGAATACATGAGCAATGTTGATTGCGGAGGGAAACAGAGCATCGGGTGACTAAAGCATGTCAGAAGGAAAAAAAAACTCACCTCTTTCTCAATTTCAGCCAAAGATTTAATTGTGATTCCCAGGAGGTCAACAGGCTGCATCTAAACAAGGGAAAAAAAGAAATGTGCCATTAAAATCTTAAGAATTCAACCCAGCCTTTCCTGTCGGGATGTTCGGCTGGACTAATGCTCCCATCTTCCCCTCTCCAAGTCAGCAAGGTTATGGGAATGGTAGTCCAGTATCAGGAGGCAGTATGGTACCCAGTGGAAGTGTTGTGGTCTGCCAGCAGCCTGCGGAGCTGGCAGCGGAGTCGGACAGTGAGGAGGCTGGGGAGGAACATGGGCCAGTCCTGCAGTCTGGGGAAGGCTCGGACGAGGGCTCTGCATCGGAGGCAGAGATGGGGCCAGGGCCATCTGGGAGTGATGCATGGACTCCAGAGCCCCCAGAGTTGGACAGCAGAGAGGCAGAGGAACAGGAGGAGCCTGTTCCTAGTGCACGTGTACGCAGAGCTGCCAGAAGGCAAGAGCAGCTAAAGCAAAAGGGACAACTTGGGAGTAAGGCCAGGAGATGATTGGCCTCTCCCATAAGGCTTAAAAGAGCAGCAAAGGCTTTTGGGCTCTTTGAGGGAAAGCAACATTGCTAAATCTGTTTCCAGTCAGCATCTCTTGTTTGTTTCTGAACTTCGTAGGGCTTTGCCAAGTAAGGCCTTTGGCAGGGTGTCAAAGAAGATAAAGGTTGGTGATTATCCTGAAGGACTTCTTCCAAAGGACTTGTTTTGCAACTAATTGGGGCTCAGCTGGGAATAATGTAATTTTCAGCTGTTATAATAAAATAGGTTTGTTTGGGACTAATTGTGTCCTGTAATGACTCAGTAAGCCTAGGTCACAACAGGAAGAGAGATACGGTCCATTGCTTGGAGATAAAAGTACGGCTTCAATAAAGGGAAGCAGGCAGGCGAGGGAAGCAAAATATAATCATGCATCTTATGATAAATTGGAGCAAGGAGAGGCATCAAGCCGGCATCTCAGCTTGGGAAGTGACGAACATCGTAAGAACTAGATATTCTTTTCAAGAAGATTCTCTTGAACAAGGAGGGGTGGTGAAGACGGTACAGAGAATAAAATGTGACAGCCGAGGAAGGTTGAGCTCACCCATCCCAAGGTGTTCAACTGGATGACTTTCCAAAATTTCAAGATGAAATTTTCTGGAGAGCTTTTGGAAGGCAAAGAAACACAGGAGACTTGAAGCAATGGATCAGATCATCATTGCAACTATGGATTTTGACGTATTTGAAATGTGATGTTCTTCAATAGTTAAGGGCCAGGAATTTAAGTTTGTAACTCCAGGGGACTACTACACGGAGAAATGAATAAGTATTTGAAAACTCACCCCTTCGGAAGCACAGGCAAACTTCTCTGAGATCATAAAAGGCACACCTTCCATCGCTGCAAACAAAAGAGAAAGAACGGAGGTTAAGATTATTGGGGTGTCTTTCATCTCTACAGTCCCCAAAGTAGGGGGCACGATGGCTCAGCAGTTAATGACGCTGAGCTTGTCAGTTGGAAAGCTGGCAGCCCGTGTTGGAGACCCGGGCACTGCATAACGGGCTGAGCTCCCATTCCTTGCTCCAGCTCCTGCCCAGCTAGCGGTTTCAAAAGCACAAAAATGAAAGTAGATAAGTAGGTACCACTTTGGCAGGAAAGTAACAGTGTTTTATGTGCCTTTGGCATGCAGCCACATGACCATGGATGGAAAATGTCTTCAATGACAGCTCCCTCGGCCAAGAAACAGAGATGAGCCTTAGTGTCGGACACGACCAGATAGGGAAACCTTTACTGAGGTTCATCCACTAAAATAATGAACTTGGTTGTGAATAGTATACATTAAATCTTTATATGACTTTTTCTCCTTCTGTCTCAGCTTTGTTTACCCAACTGGGCTCTAAAGGAGAAAAGACCAGGCCACAAAGTTCTATGTTTCTGCAAGGAATGTCTTGATCCTCAAAAACTGAGGAGCCACCAAGATTGGGAACAAACGCGCAGCAGCTGGAAAGCGAGCAATCTGTCCAAATGCTTCAATGCTGCCATGTGGGCTCCTTGGAGCAAACGAGCTTCCACAGAGCTGTAATTAAGCAGACCTGTAATTAAGGAGATGCCCTTTTCTCAGAATGATTGCACTTTAAAAAAAAAAACGGCAGAACAGCACACAATGGAGTCTGTTATTAATGCCAACGAGACACGAGCACGCGGGCTGTGAGATTCAGCGCCCCCATCCAGGGCTGTCGCTACGAGATTATTTATAAAACCGGTTCATGGGGAGCATCTGAACGGGCGGGCTAGACTAGAGGGAAGGGAGATCGGGCAGGGAAGGATGGAGAGGTTTAGAGGGGCAGAGGTGCCCCCAGCCTAAGCAGCCTGTCAAGACGAGTCGTAATCACATTCGGCTCCAAAGTTGGATTCCAACTGCAGAATTCCAGCGTCTGCCTTTCCTTGGTCGAAGATGGGAAGTGTGCTCTTCTCTTCCACCCACAGAGATGAGAAAACTACTCATCTCTTAGAACGGCTAGATCACACTAAATCTCAGGGGCTGCCACAAAGAAAAGGGAGTCAAGCTATTCTCCAAAGCACCTGAGAGCAGGACAAGAAGCAATGGGTGGAAACTCATCAAGGAGAGAAGCAACTTAGAACTAAGGAGAAATTTCCTGACAGTTGGAACAATGAATCAGTGGAACAACTTGCCTCCAGAAGTTGTGAATGCTCCAACACTGGAAGTTTTTAAGAAGATGTTGGATAGCCACTTGTCTTAAGTGATGTAGGGTTTCCTGCCTAAGCAGGGGGTTGGACTAGATGACCTCCAAGTTTCCTACCAGATCTATTCTGATTGAAGTGGTGGGTGCTCCATCACTGAAGGTTTTTAAGAGGAGATTGGACAACTATTCATCTCAAATGGCATGGGGTTTCCTGCCTGGGAAGGGGATTGGACTAGAAGACCTCCAAGGTCCCTTCCAACTATTCTATTCTATTCTATTCTATTCTATTCTATTCTATTCTATTCTATTCTATTCTATTCTATTCTATTCTATTCTATTCTATTCTATTCCTCACCCGAATGCTCTGCAAGTCCACATCAGCTAAAAAAAATGCATCAAGGTTAGCTCTTTGCATGGCCTAGCCAACTATAAACCATGGATGGGAGGCCACAATTGCAGATTGATCCCACTTTTCAGCCATAACACGGTTTAATGTAGTCTCATCGTGCTATGCGAAGCCCTCCTCTCTCAGGGGGAAGGTTCTAACCTGGGAAAGGTGGAAGGAAAAATATAGATGACTGAAAGGTGGAGGGTCTCAGTCACAGTGGCAATTGGCGCAATGTTGGAAGGCCCTGTTGTGGCCCACCAGCGGAGCTGGCAGCAGATTCGGACAGTGAGGAGGTTGGGGAGGAACATGGGCCAGTCCTGGAGTCTGGGGAAGGTTCTGATGAGCGCTCTGTGTCAGAGGCAGAGATGGGGTCAGGGCTGTCTGACAGCTGTCAGCTGCCTTTGGAGTCGGACATCAGTGGGGCAGAAGAACAGCTGGAGCCTGTTCCCAGTGTGCGCATGCACAGAGCTGCCAGGAGAAGGGAACAGCTAAGGAACAAGGGTCGACTCAGGAGTAAGACCACAGGTGGATGATGAATGGACCCTCCCATAGGGAATAAAGAGGTGTGAAGGGGAGGGGAGTTTGCAGGAGACAATTAGTTCATTTGGGTGAAGATCTGTTCCTGCATTCTTGCCAAGTATTGTGGAGTCTGAAAGATATCGGCCTGGTCACTTTCCAAGCCCAATAAAGGTCGGTAATTGTGAACTATCTTGAAAGGCTGTGGGAGAGGAAAGACTTTGCTGGAGAGGAATTCACTATAAATTACTGTAAATAAAAGGGTTTTATCGGGACGAGGACTCAGCTTCGTGCTGCTGGGGAAGCCTAGGTCAGAACAGGCCCAAAGGATCAGGTGAGGAACAGATCCTCCAGAAGAAGATCTAGCAATCTGGTTGCTAAGAGCACATAATCAACTTTCTATTCAAGAAGGCCATAGAGTACCTAAAGAAATCCATAAACCAGGGGTGAAATGCTACCGGTTCGCACCGGTTTCGGCGAACTGGTAGCGGTGGCGATGTGTTGTTCGGTGAACTGATAGCGGCGGCAGCACGAAGCTCCGCCCACCCGCCCAGATGTCATTACTTCCTGGTTTTAACCAGGAAGTAACCTGCTTTTGAACCTCTGCGCATGCACCAAAAAGGGTCCAAAATCGTGCAGGCAGAGTGCGTACTTCCAAACCAGTAGGGATTTCACCCCTGCCATAAACCTAGGTGGAAGAAGGAGAAAAGGTCAACCATCCACAACAATAACAATAACAACTCAGTGATGAGTATACCTGAAGGGCCAGGCGAAGGACAGACCACCATGGATAAAAATCCATCTGTGTGGTTGCTAAGGCTCAATGCCGACTTGAGGGTGCCTAATCAATCAATCAGGTTGTGTAAACCCAGCTTTTTATCTTCCCTTGTCAATCTTGACGGTGCCTAATCAATCAACCAGGTGGCGCGAACCCAGCTCCCACCTTCCCCTGTCAATCTTCCTCTGCAAAACGGCACAGGAGATGAACAGAATCTTCTGCCATGAGTGCCCACCCACCCACCCCCCGTATTAAACTCCGACATCTGAAGTGGCTTCTTGAGTCTCCCCATCCAGCTCTCCGGGGTAGCAAATAAAGCCCTGAATTTAACCACCACGGGTGAATTCTCCTCCTCCTCCAAGGTGCCGTCTAAATAGAAATCAGTTGCAGGAGGACCGAGAATTTGAAACGGAGCAGAAAAACATTCTCCCAGCATAATCACTACTTGTTTCTTTGAAGGCAGAAAACAATGGGCGTCAGAAACAAGTGGAAATCTAAGTACTAATTGCCGTTATTCTCTTCCTTCACAATAGCATCTCCCGGGGCTTATGGAAAACACACCCCATTGTTCTTTCTGACTCACTGAAATATCAGGTGGTGTCTTCCCATCAAGGCCAATAATAGAACGAAAAAGAACTTTCTGCGCACGCTCGAGACAAGTTCTCCCACCGAAGAAATGAAGGGAGACAGAGAGGTTTTAAATATGGCTGTCAGGGAGCGTTAGGGTTCCTGCCAAGTGCTTGCTGGAAGCTTTTTTTGGAGGGGACGAGGGGGCTGCCAAACCGTGGGGCCTCATCCTGATCAACATGGCCGGTGCTTCAGAAAAGGGTTGCAAACTTGGCTAACCATCACTCAGGATGCCAGTCGAAGCCAGGATCATCCTTTTTTGGGGGGGAGGCAGTCTTCCAATATCTTAGGGGCTGCCACAAAGAAGAGGGAGTCAACATATTCTCCAAAGCACCTGAAGGTAGAACAAGAAGCAATGGGTGGAAACTAATCAAGGAGAGAAGCAACTTAGAACTAAGGAGGAATTTCCTGACAGTTAGAACAATTAATCAGTGGAACAACTTGCCTCCAGAAGTTGTAAATGCTCCAACACTGGAAGTTTTTAAGAAGATGTTGGATAACCATTTGTCTGAACTAGTGTAGGGTTTCCTGTCTATGCAGGGGGTTTTAAAGCATTTTTTTTTACTACCTATTGCCCGACCGGTAGTAGAAAAAATGCTAAACAAAAGTTTTTTAAAAAATTCCGAGGATCAGCTGTGCCGCGCGATCGTCGGAACTTTTTTTTTTTACTTTTTAAAGCATTTTTTTACTACTGATTCGGGCGAACCGCGAATGAAGCGAACAGGTGGTAACACCAGTTGAAACCCAACACCGGTTTCCATGGATCACACAGAGGTTCTGGAATGGCTCCAGGATCTGTGGAGTCATTCCTGGTAGTTTAAGGAATGCTGCAGTGGCCTAGAGGTGGAGCTCTCACCTCACAATGAGGAGGTTGTGAGTTCAATCCTAGGTAGAGGCAGTTATTTCTCTCTCTGGGCACAACAAGAATATATCTGCTGGGAAAAAAAAACTCTGCATTGGCGACAGGAAGGGCAGTGGGCCAGTAAACACTCAGCTCCATTCAGTTGCCCAGACTCCACCCCACAAGGGATTATGGGGTCATTAAAAGAAGAAGGTTCCTGGTAGTTTAAGGAAAACTATGTGCAAATCTAGAAGTAACATCCAACTAGTAGCCACTGATAGCCAGATCCTCCAAGACTCCAACGACTTTTTTGAAGTCGTTGACATTGAAGTCGTTCCCATTTCTGATGGCAGCAAATTCCACTTTAACTAAGCCTAAATTTGCATCTTGACAACCATTACTGTCCAAATGCATCGGACTCCGGACTCCATAATGCTCAGCTCCTGGAAGTTTCCCTTCAACAGGTGTGGGGAAACATGGAAGGGAAAGTTGATATATTCCCCCCCCCCTTTCCCCCTCCCCTTCCAGGTCTCCTTCTGTCTCTTT